CGTAACGTTTATAGGTATAATCTGAAGATGTCAATAGGAATAGGCACCAATTAAGGGGCCTTAGAGGGTCATGGTATCTGGGAAGCGTTGCAAGTTAACGTCGTGGGAGGATTTCAAATATGGCGTTGTGATTAAGCTAGTTCTCTTCATTCACCGTGTTCTCTTAGTGGGGGGTTGTGTTGATGTCTGCAGTTCTAAGGAGGCGATGCGTTGCGGCCAAGTATGAGTGGATCTCTTTTTGATGATCTTCAGAGTTATTCCCTTTTCTATTCATGCTTCAAGGTCTTGCGTGTATTATTGGTGGAGATAGTGGCTAGCTATTTGCTCTGAGTGGAGCACACGGCTGATCGCGATCGACTAAATTCTGACTGTGAGGAAGTTTATCTAGAAGATCAATAATGCGTAGCGTTGGATGGAAAGTATTAGGGTATAAATTGAAGTCACCAACGGAAAGGAAATTGAGTCACTTATATTAATTCAGGGTAGTAAACTTTCATAGATTTAAGATACTTGCAGGTATTCACTAACTTAAGAAGCTGAGTGACTATTCCAATTGAAATCAAGTAGCTCCTGATTGAGGGATTATATTTTAAGTCATAGTGCCAATAAAACGAAAAATCCAGCTCTCTTTCAACATGGTCAAAATATGTTGACCAAAAGCTGTTCATTACCAAGTGCAACCTGGGTGGGACTGTAGTTTTCATATCATGGCGGTCTATTTGTGCATCTGCATGTGATTGTGGATTCGCTATATCAGGAATTGAAATCTCCAATACTGGTCTTTACGAAGGAAATGAGAGGAAAGCTGTGTAAGAACGTATCTGTTAGAGGGCAGAGAAGTAAGCAAAGCACCCCATTTGGTAATTACTGTATTTGTGGACGGATCTGCATTTCCTTGAGCGCTATAGTCTTGGCAACATAGCCTCAAATATATTGGATGCAGATATTGCGGAATTGTAAGCATATTTGTCTGCTTATGAATAACATACACGCACACACGTACACGTAATTAATGTCGAATCCATACAACCGAATACTTGGATGCGCTATAATAATAACAATGCTTAGGTTACTCGTGACGTATGTGAATTGATGAGGAATCCAGTGCCAAGTAGCTGATGTTCATTGCGGTCAACGTTGTCACCATATAGCCTTTCTCTGGTGGGCTTTACTTGTGGATACCCCTGACTATATCTACCTGAAACAGAATATGATGGCAATACCGTTCCTAAGGTATCTTTGATCGACAAATAATTATTGGTATCGTAGTAAATTCCTTATTTTAGGGGACATATGCCGAGGCTGACACTGTAAGCCTGCCAAGCACCAAGCAGCGACTTTCAGGCCAATCAGGTACCTCTGGAGAGACTAATGGCGTACTGACGTTCCAGGCGCAGCTATGAGCCCATATTCTGGACCCGCCCATAACAGCACCTATCCGCGAACCACATTCCAGCTACCCGGCACGGATATCTAGCAACGTCATTATGTCAACGGTACCAACCAGTGGAATGCTTTAATACCAAAACACACAGTGATCGTCTATAGATGCTGAATAATACTTAGACGTAAGTTCTTTGAATTAATGAAGGATCTGATAAATACTCCTATTTATCCTGGTTACGTATCACTGTGGATCTGAAACTATGAGAATTGCAGGGAACAAGGAGATATTTTGAATGATGTCCAAAGGTTAGAAGTCAATTAGATCGGTATGGGCAGGGTTTGGTGCTATGTAATTAAACGGAGCAATTCCGTGGTTTCAATAATCAGACTCATTATTGGATATAAAATAGCCCTTAAAGCATTGGGTTAAGGACAACTTGCTCTCGAGAACCATCAGAAGGATCTTCGAAGAAGTCAAGATCTAATCTCATAAAGATGTTAACCACCCTAACCACGCTCTTCACGCTGGTTGTAGCAGTTGCCGAGGCTCATAGCTCTCACAGTCACGGCTGCAACTGTTCTGCCCCAATTGCACCGCCAGCTACTCAGCTTATTTCAAATGGTATTAGAGCTCTCGGTGGCCAATCTGCTCTAGCCAATCTATCTGGCGTTATTTATGATTCAGGAGGGTATGTTTTTGGCAGGGAACGTCTACTCACCCCCGCTCTCCTAACTAAGCACGCTTCTAGGATATATCGCAGTGCTACCCTGATGCAAAACTATAAGCTGCTAGAGAGCGATCGATATATTACCATTGCAGGGAATCAAAATGTATCATTCTCCTTTTCCGATGGAGTTCTACGACAACGCATAGATAGAAACTTCCAACGTTCTGGTAAGGCCTTCTCAAAATGATAGCAAAGAACGTGTTGACAAAATCATCAGATTACTGGTACTTTTCACAACCGACGGCTGCACCGGCAAAATTTTCTCTGGTGATGCAAAGTGGTGACGATGGATATGCATGCTTCATCGAGGGCAATAATAATGTATTCATATCTCCTGACCAGACATCCGGATATACTGCTGGTAAGTACCGCCATACCAGTATTGTATTTAAGTGGTACTGAGCCAGATCCTAGGCGTATTAGCAGACTATCTCCTCCTTCAAGCACAAAAATTGTCTCCAAAGCTGTTATTAGATGTAAGAGTTTTCGGATTGATATCGTGAGAATCTTATTCTAAATGACTACTAGATCCAATCGCATAATGCTACTTCTCGGATAGTCACTCTTGAGAGTGGAGTCAAATTACCGGCTGGTAAAGCCTTCGTCAATCATAAAACCATTTCTAAAACTAATGTGTGTACAGTATACGACCAGACACTCGGTATTGCGGTGATCTTCGATACAGCAACAAATCTTCCGTACATTATCCGTTCATTCGAGAACCATGCTATCTTCGGTCTTTCCACCAGCGATCTTGAACTCTCAAACTACACAACCGTGAACGGTATCCAGTTCCCACAAAAGTTTAGCACCATCTACAATGGAAAGGCTGTTTTAGAAGAGACCACTTTGACTCAAATTACTACCAACCCGTTATACTCTTCTACCTTCTTTGATGGCCTACCTGAGACCGAAAGTACTACGCCAAAGGAAATGCCTGCTCCAGTTCCAGGGTATTCTCATGCGGAAATTGGTGAATATTATATGAATACTATATGGTCAGGTGAATATGCCGGTACCTTGGAAAACATCAGCGTTACGCATCCGGTGGCGGATCTCCCAGGTCTCCACTTAATCTCATTCCTAGATGCACCGAATCTGGAACAAGCAGTGTTAGAGTTCGACGATGGAGTTCTTGTGATGGAGAGTCCTCCACATCAGACTGATTTGGTGATTCGATGGGTGAATGAGACACTCAAGAAGCCAATTACACACCTTTGGGTATGCCTCCTAATTTTCTATCAGTTGTAGCGCTGCCTAGGTCAAGGATTATGCTTATATGGAATTATTAGCCCTCCCACCACCACCATGACCACAACTACGGTGCCAGTGAATATGTCAAGCTTGGAGCCAAACTCATTGTACCGGAAGTTTCAGCATCCTACTGGAAGCAGATCCCCGGTGCCAAGCTGGTTACTTTTAAGTAAGCGGCCCTACAAGCACGACAGACGATGCGATTTACTAATATATTGTGCAGTGACAAGAAACCTTATATCCATAGAGACTCTTCCATGCAAGCTCGATTCCTCTGGAGCCCAGAAGCTGCTCATGCTGTCGACTGGACTTACTCTATTGTCAGCAAAGCATGCCCATCCGCCAATAACAGTATTGTAGCTTATGTTGCTGATGCATGGTCCACCTCCCTTCCAATTGATGATAAGTTAGCTAGAACCTGGGTGGATCAGGCAGTTGGTGATGGATTAAGTAAAAATGCTTTGTAAGTCATCGCTCCCTTATGATTGTACCTAGGAAATCTTACCCTAACAATCTATTCTTAGGGTCATTCCCGCACACGGAAGCCCAGCGCCATTCACTCAGCTCATTGATTTTCTCGGATACCAATATCCAAATATCACAACCACGGATTGGAAAGCTGGTGGCAGGTTGTGTGCTGGACGTTATTGAGCATTACGTGACAATTGCCATTGTTATCGTCTTACGAGACCACGACTGAAAAGTTACAAATTTAAGTTATATTTAAACTTCACTAGCTTTGCATACTATAAAGATGGAGAAATGTATAGACGATATTAATAGATGTAATAATAGAAGTAGTATGTGATTGACTCCGGATTAATCTTCTTTATTGTTTTTTTAAAGGTGCAAATTTTTTCTTACTTAAGCGCTACCTAATCACAGTACGATGACCAAATAACCCCCAGGCATAGTGATGATAATGGACTTTTTGATTCACGGGAATATTAACGTTAGCGACATATGTGAACTAAGAAGTGGACGGCTTAATCGAGAGTTCGGGGCCTGCTATGGGGATATCTATAGCCAGATAAGGTCTGAATAGTCCTTCTAATAGAGGGTTACGGATTAATCCATAGTTCTATGACTCCACAGCGTCCCAAGATTCTATCGCTCTGTATAATGGAACTCCCTAGCAATCAGCTAGTCATGAAGGTTTATAGAATCTGCACTATACATTAGTATTTCAAATTGCATTTAACTAGCCGAATCTAGAAATACTATTTCTATAGGGAGTAGAATCTTAATGAATTAGATTCATTTAGCCTAGGGCATATTTAGTTGTTATACGCCCAAACAAAAGGATCTACGATATTTGAGCTATGCCTATGTGAACCGAAAGAAATATAGGTAAAAACAGGGTTCTATGCGGATATGTCATTCCTAAAGAAGGATAAATTTTAAGTAACTACAACTGTCTTCACTGCTCATCCGAGCCAAATTAAAGTACAACGAGATGGCTTTCTTGGGTACAAAAAATTGAAACATGATGCAACGTCTCACTAAATTATGCTTAAAAGCGGCAATGAACAAAACATTCCGACTGAAAATGAAGTATTTTGAAAAAAAAAGTTCTCTCGAGGTGATTCTGAATTTTATATTCAGGGTCTTGAACTCAAGAGAGGAGGTATCCTCTCTGACGGGGAGTCGAACCCCGATCTCCCGCGCTTTGTCTGATAAACGTTCTATCATCACATGACAAGCGGAAATCATGACCGTTAGACCATCAAAGATTTTCTTATCTCTACTTTAATGAATTACTAATAATCACTTATTCTCTGTCGCAAAATAATCCCGATCTCTGATTTTAAACAGAAAATCGAAATACAATTAATGTTTGTAACGAGATAAACAAGATAGGGTCAGGAACGATGCCCGTTTACAAAGCAAAGTAGATATTGGAGGCAGAAGCAAGATAACCTGGGGACAAGGCCAACAAGAACAACGCACGAAATGAAGCTAAGCGAAGGGAAGATAACGACGCCGCTCAACTGATGGTTCCAGTGCCGGGGTCGTTGCTAGATATTGACGTCATATCATGCTATACCCGAGGATAATCCAATTTCTTGAAGTAAAAGAGGGTTTCGTGATAGGAAAGGAGATTTATTAGTGTTTAATCGTTGACTCGCTTTTGTGGACTACCTAACAACATCAGGATATGTCACAATACCTACATTAATATTTTCCCGTCCTATAACTAGTTAAGTTTTTCAGTAAAACAAAATAAATTTTTTAAATTTTATAAAAATTACTAATTAGGTTTTATGTATATAATCTATAAAGAAAGGACTGAAAAAAGAATTAGAAAACAAAAACAAATTTTGGCGGTACTGGGAATCGAACCCGGATCTTAGCGGATCAGTATCACTTTATCAGTAATATTCCAAAGAATTCCACAACACTACGTGCTACCGTTACACCATACCACCAGCTGAATTTTAAACTGTAATTTATTCCATAAAATATAAGTACAAAATAATAACACCGAGAATTCGCATTTCATATATAATTTATATTTGATATTTAATAAAATAAAAGTTAAAGCTTTTATGACAACACTCGGCTGTATTACTTCCTTCATATATACCCAGTGCAACCACACCTATTTTTGTACAATAATGAATAATGTGGTAGGGAAACATGTCATGTATTAGTAATAGCCAGTCTGAGCCAAGCTGGTATAAACTTACTAGAGGTTCTAGCACTACAATCAACAACCTCTTCATACTCAACTAAGGGAGTGGTTCGTTCATGTGCCTTGTGTATGCCTTGTTTTATGATATTCTGTGTAACGTTCCTACTAGGGTTTGGGGTATCTATCACTCAAATGATAGATGAAGGTAAAGGGCAAGAGAATAACTTCACAAGGATTAGGATAGTTACTATGAAATGCAGGTATGCTGTAAATCAATTGAGTTGAGCACCAAGCTCCTTACTAAAGAAACTATCTACTTATATAATGAGTGTGTTGTTTGTGGACCTTGGGACCCTTAGAGTTCTGAGGTCCTTCCCATGGACCCTTGGACCCTTAAGGTCCTAAGGTCCATCACGTGACCTAACCGCCTGGGAGAATCCTATCGCCCGCATTCTGGTAACAGGATTCTGTCAGTAGAATTCTACCAGCGCTTTCCTGTCGGTAATATGATACCAGCCACGACCTCACTTATCGGTGTCGTTGTCGCCGTCTCATGTTTTACTGTTATAAAGTTTGTGCCGGCCTGTGCGAGTACAATTCTACTGGTAGATTTCGGGTGTCAATCCGGGGTCGTGACATTCTGCATGCTTCTAATCGCAAAGCTCTATTCCTGTATGCTCTAGCCGGCGTTATAGTTACGCCCACTCTATCGCTTCCACAATAAGAACTGAATCTAACCCCATTTGAACTCCCTGTATTTGCATACATTGCATTATTCCGGGTTTTACAACAACAACAGATAACGAAGAATATTCCAAAAAAAATAATAAAATTTATTCTCCAATACTGCAGTTGCAAAGGAATTACCAACCAAACTATGTTGGATAATACTTTTTACTTTTTCGAACTTGGCTATTCGGGTGTCGTGTGGTAGGGAATCCGCGCGCGGGTTATAGTAAATCCACCGCCGAAACCTTCCGGACTACATCGGCAACAAGCAAGCTGGTTAAGCCCAGCTATTATTCCCCGCCTCATGGCAGGGCGGGGTTGGGACGACTCCTTGGAGATAGAAGACCTCACTAAAATCCACCTATCTTGAATATGGTGGCTAGTATTAGAAGTATCGGTTTCAACTTGTTTCTTTTCTTTGCCTTGAGCACCAGGTTCTATTTTTAGCAAAAAGATATTTACTTGTCTGGATTGCCTTCCCGAGCCAAAAGAAGAGCGGAAACGAACATGATTGGAAGGAATATGCAAGTAAGGAGGTTCCCATTCTCTATCAGATTAGTGTCTCTGTATTATAGTTTATTTTTAATTTATCGAACATTACTTATCACTCCTTTATACCTTGACTTTGTACGATGACTCTAAGGGATTAGTAAACTATGGGTTAGAGATCTCGACCAATACAAATGAAAGCTGTTATGCTAGGTATAGTGAAAGTTCAGTTGATGAGCAATGTATACTTACTCTAACGGAGAGTGAAGTCTCGAAGCTTGTATTTGCTCGTCTGCTGCTCTAGGATTGCTCTACCATCCATTATTCCATGGACGTAACAAGAACCAACCAAGCCAATGATCGCCTTTATCTCGTAAGATGAGCGGTGTCTGGCCATCCAGAAGAATGCACACCATATTTCCAAATCCTGTAAATGCTGGTGCTAAAATCATATATCCCTTATGAGAGATACAAAACCTGCGCCCATTAGAAGCTTGATCAATTGCACTTACGTATGGCTCCGTAAAGAACTCCTTATTTGGCGGAGCAGTAGCACGTCCAGATCGTACATTAAACACTGATTAAATCAATCACCTTTTAGCGAGTTTAGCGGGTTTAACGAGCACTTGCCACTCTCATACACAACTATTTAACAAGACTCCATTGAAAACAAATTGGAAAAAATAAGTTTCCGTTATGTGAACCGGCCTAGAATCTTGCTATTATTAATACCAATATTATATCCGAATTAAAATGGCAATTAGACGTGCTTTCACACACACACTTATATGTCAGACATGATGCTCAATTTTGTGCTGTACATATATAACACAGTATTATTTCCGATCAGATTTCTGTTTTAGATATATATATCAGTATTTGAGATTTCTCTTTGTATTATTTCTCTAAGCTTTTTTGTATCTGTGTATTCTAAGAAACATAGAACAAGCCTGGCTCACCATATCACAACTGGGTATATTCCTACTGATATACCAACCTCCACAATGGTACTCGTCTTACCTTTCTGGGCACAACCACCAAATAGCAAAAATAGCACTTTTGCAATATTTGGGATCCAGTACGTTGAGCTTACCGATGAGAAGATATCATATTTCACGCGCTTGACTAGTTTACTCCGTGATAATGCTGCCCACATAGAATACCATCTCCAGCCAATGGATCCTACTACAGGCTTAGACTACCACACTATAGTAATAGTCACTTACTGGTTTGAAAGCAGCATACACAAAGCTTGGTGGAATGGATTAGCGGTACAGAGCTTCTGGAATGAAAATGTTCCGTCAAATGGGGATGCGGGTGTCTGGCGTGAGGTGCTCCAAGTCTCACCCGGACGATTCATGCATGCAACGGGCAACTCCATACGAGTCGGGTTCGCAGCTGCATCAGCATTTCAGAATCTTGAGTATAGCTCGACTAATACTGTGGCTGAACGTAAGAAGTACTGGGGTATCTACCGTGAGCGTCTTCCAGATTGGAGCGATGATCCTTTTCAATCGGAATACAGCGTCTCTACGTCTGAAACAACAGGCCAGAACAAAACCATCAAACTACATGACCCTAATATTAAGCAAAAAAATCCAATTCGACAAGAAAGGGTATATCTGCCGCGAGGTATTGATAATCTTCTTTGGGTCCATGAATATCAGGACTACACAGGCGCAGATGAGTTCGAACATAATCTCTGGCGTGAGAAAATTGCAGACCATATCTCATCTTGGATTGACCATCTCAACACGAAGCGCCGGGAAAACGGAGTGTTGTCCTTTAGGAATACGCGTATACTGGCTCCAATTGGTGAAGGGACAACCGTCAATCCTGAGTCACAAAAGGGGGGCCAGTTCATGTATTTCGTTGACATGGCACATTTTGAGGCGTCTGGTAAAGCATTTCGTGATCATCGACTGGGACGTTCACGAATGGAGCACTTGTATCGGGCCGGAGGGTCCCTTGGTGATGGGAGGGGTAAGATAAAGCTCATGGTAGAATTGGCCGTTTTGAAAGCAGACGATTTCGAAGCGGAGTATATTGGCTGCCGGGAGGGTACGGGACTTATGTCCTACGAGGCCTACATAAAATGAAACAATTATGTACCTTATCATCTGAGATAGGATTACCAATAGATTATAGAAATTGCTAACAAAACAATATTTAAATACAACAATCGCATGTCCGTTATCCTGACGAGTTTGCAGAGTTAACCAATGTTGGATCATTACTCCACATGTTTCTACTCTAGATTTATTCTCAACTTCGCTCCACGATGTAGAAATTGTTGAGGTTTACATATACGCCTCGGGAATACCGGATATGGTGGGATCTGGCTAATATATGATGACAGATGGGAGGAAGCTCTAGGTTATGATGCATCAGTATAATGAAACTTTGACAAGAGCTAGATGTCATTGTTACAACGGCCTATCTTGTAGGTAGCCGCACTGCTGTAAGATCCTTTGTCAGAGTTATATCAAGCCTCAATGTTCAAAGTCTAAAAATCGGTGATTATACAAGTTATCTAATAATTAAGAATAGATAAGAGCCTTGTGCTTAGCTCAATTAATTTCCTTAAATTATAAACCCATCACAGGTGCGGTGTTTCACAGTCAGCAAAGCAGACGATATGACTGTTACCGTTTTAGCTCGTGACTTTGCCTGAGTGGCCTGAGTTTGATAATACATCTTGCAGCTCTCCGGCTGGGATACATTGCCATCAGCGCCTCTACAAACCCCCTAATGGCATAAGAATAATATTTTAGTATGAGCCCTGGAATGGCATAAAAGTACCTTCAAGCAGTCGTGTGCAGAACTCTAAACGGTGATCTAACAGGCCATGTATGAAGTACTTTATTTGACAAAAGAATTCCAAAAAAATGTGTTGACATGAGTGGGGTTTGAACCCACGCCTCTCTCGAGAGCGGTGTATGTAGAATAACTTAAAACCGCCTGGTAAATTATTAGTTGATGTTTATCATGGAGGAAACGATAGTGGTACTAACCACCTTAGACCACTCGGCATCATGCCAATTGATGCCACTTGTACTGCTTATCTAATTATAAGAGATTTATTATCTTACTCACACATATGTTCCTCCTCTGGTGGTAACTATTTTCCACGGACTTCTAAATAATGTCAGTCTCACCAAAGATAACTAGTTGTCTCGCTACTTCTGTTTCGGTATTATATATCAATTTCTAACCTTATACTTTCGGCAAATGTGATGATATTCATAAGTCTCTTTTCAACCCAAGTGCTTCAACACATAAAATCTATGAATATCCCTGTACCTTTGTTTGCCTTACGGTCTACTCTAGAAAAAATAACTCGGGGGTATGAACTCTTGAGGAATAAAGTCAGAAGGAAACAAAAGAAAACATTTAGTCAACCGAACAAGTGTGGAAAAAGGTGGAAGCATGAACAACCCATCCTTGGTTACCGATGTCTCAGACCAAAAGGGGACCTCCAGTTCAAACGGCTGTTTATACTCCTCTATATCTGTTCTGACACGATGTTACCTATGCTTATAGATTGTCCAAATCTCGCGATCTGGATAACACGGTAGCTGTCGCGCATGGTTCTAGAGTACACTTTTAGATGATTACTATTCCCTAAACGGCTTGAGTGTTAAATTCAAAAGACCGAGATACTTACGAATTAACAGGTAGGCCATATTCGGTAAAAGCCAATGTTTTAATGTTACATTACGTTTGTGAGCTCATCGCCAGGTCTGGGGCAGCCAAAGATCCACTCGAAGGGGCTTAAGGGCTTGTCTAGCAACAGTAAGCTCACGAATCAGGCTCGGTAAGGCGTTGTCCGACTCTCCACATTACGGATTAACCCTTGCACACTAGCTCGTAGTTACTTCGTATGCGATTTGGTTACCTTACATGCCATAAGTATCGTTTGTAGCAGGGATAGTGACGGTGACCGATATAACTCTGCATTGGCTCTGCATCCCACTTCTCTTCCTCACCGACAGGTTACAGATCAACATGCGGGGTTTTATTGCCTGGTTAATATTGTCCTTAGCCCCGTAACTGATAAGGTAGCCATGGCAAGAAATATTGATTTGATAGACCCTGGACAACTTGGGATAGCTGAGATGTGAGTTAGCGGGGGACTCAGCTATATAAAGCTGGATAAATAACCCATGTACCTCAACACCTGAGGTTTCCTTAGAAGTCAGTAGAGTTTGGAAGTGACTGTATCTCTCGTCACCACCATCTCGCAATGTCTTCGCAAAGAATAACATCCCTGGTGGCTCTGATGAGCCTGTGGGGCTTAACTGGCGCGAAACCTCGAAATCCGGTCCTTCTACCGACACCGCCTATGGGGTATAATGACTGGTCTGTCACTTTCTGCGCACTTAATCAGTCCCTATTCACCTCGACAGCCGATTTCATGCTCTCTTCTGGTCTTCAAAAGGCTGGTTATAATCGTCTGAATTTGGATGACTGTTGGATGTTGAATGAGCGCGCAGCCAATGGATCTCTTCAGTGGGATCCTGAAAAGTTTCCGAACGGGATACCTTGGTTGGCAAACTACATGCACGAACGCGGTTTTAGTTTGGGAATTTATTCAGATGCTGGAAATGTGACATGCGGAGGTTATACGGCTTCCCTCGGGCATGAAGCGTTGGATGCATCTACTTTTGCATCATGGGGCGTAGATTATCTGAAGCTAGATGGCTGCAACGTACCTGACGGCACTGAGGAGACATATAAGCAAATATATGGGCATTGGCACGAAGTGCTTGAGAACCTGGAACAACCTCTCATTTTCTCACAGTCTGCGCCAGCTTACTTTGCCTCGGTACCTAATCTTACTGACTGGTATTCTGTAATGGATTGGGTTCCTAAATTTGGTCAGCTCGCTCGTCATTCAAGGGATACTCTCGTCTGGAACTCCACACTCTACTGGCCTAACATTACTGGATGGGACAGCATCATGTTTAACTATGGGGAACAGAATCTATTGGCTCGATATGCACGGCCAGGCTATTTCAACGACCCAGACTTCTTAAACGTTGACCATGCGAACTACACACTGGCCGAAAAGAAGTCACATTTCGCGCTATGGTCCTCTCTAGCTGCACCCCTCATCATCAGCGCTCATGTAGTAGATCTGACAGAGGAGGAAATTGCTTATTTGACAAATACTGATATTATCGCCATTGATCAAGATCCTCTCGGTCTGCAAGCAACATTAGTTAGCCAAGACGAGACGTGGGATGTCCTCACAAAAGACCTCGCTGGCGGAGATCGACTTCTCACGGTTCTTAACAAAGGCAATTGTACTGCCAACCTGATAGTACCTTTCTCGCGAATTGGAATAGTATCAAACAAGTCTGTGCCTTATCGAGTCAAGGATCTCTGGACAGGATCGCTGAGTCACGTATCTAAGGAAATAACAGCTGTTGATGTGCCTTCCCACGGAACGGCAATATTCAGAATCCAAACTCTCAACACTCCGATCGAAACCGTACCGACAGGAATGATCTTCAACACTTACTCCCTGAATTGCCTCACTTCTTCAAGGAATGGCACTGTCAGCTGGAGCGCCTGCAAGGGGAGTGATGCACAGGTCTGGCAGACTCCTTTGGATGGAACAGTGAGAAGTCTGTTGAGCACAACCGAATGTCTTACTGATGGTGGCATCAACGGCACAGCCACAATGACTGCCTGCGGCTTTAGTTCGACGCAGCACTGGAAATACTATTTCTCGGGAAACCTCAAGCCTAGTTCTTCGAGAATGTGCTTGACGGAGAATGATGGAGCTGTTATGACGACTTTGTGTGGGGTCAGGACAAATGAACAGGTGATTGCATTACCCAGTGGAGTTGAACTCTGGTAGCTTTAGTACATTCTTTGCTATAAGAGCCACCTTACTGGAAATATAATCTACGTATTCTCCTTAAAAAGGTGATTTGATGTACAAAAACTGAAGTCTGCCTACGTATGAATGTGATTCTTGTTACGTAGCCCGCCGTCAACCTAGAGTGTGTACGACAGCCTAACATCAACGATGAGAACGCGATCTTACACGGGCTTACGAAATTATAGTAAGTATTGGAGATTGTAGCATTTCCCTGCCTTTTAACAAAATCAATAAATTACGCAATTATAACGTCGGTTTAGAATAACGTAATAACGTCCTGATGAACAATCAATGGGGTTTGTTGTTAGCTACCTGTGCCGTGAATCCGGACCACCCCATTTTGACGGCTGTAGGGTCAGTGGGGTCAATGTTACATTACATTCGATAAACCCTGTCATGTGCGTGCAAAGATTGCCAATAATTCCCAACTGGGACACTAGGTCGATACGAGATCAAGGTGTTTCTTAAACCAAATTTACACTTTGAGGAATATCATATTGTACCGGGCTAGGACACCCAAAGCTTCGGAGTTTTGCATTCAAAGAGGCCCATTCGAAATCTGTCAAACTCACACTTTCTCTGCAGTTGACATAGCTTCTATTCAGTAAAGCTATCATAAAAGTCAAGTGCTAAGAGTTCGCTAAGAAAAGATGGGATCAGCAACGCCTCTCACATCTTCACTGCTAGAATCGCTCAACAGAGACGGATTTGTTGTTGTGCCTTCTGTCTTGAGTGCTGAACAACTCACTCGACTTCGAGAAGCGGCACAATCAACAGTAAAGTTCGCACGTGAAGGGCATTGGAAAAATGTTCGCACTCTACCAAAGCAATTTCCACCTTGGGACATATCTAGTCCTAACCCTGCTGCCAAAGGCATATGGGGTGTGCAGCTTCTGATGCATCCCGAACTGCCAGAACATGAAGTCTTTGTGAAGACGTACTTCTCTGATGCTGTTATAAATCCAACCAAAGAATTACTCCAGTGCGGAGATGATGAGCTCGTTATGGAATTGTTTAATCTCCTTACGAGGCCTGATCGAGATTTTGAATTGACCTGGCATCGGGATGATATTCCTGCTACCGCAACAGCGGAAGAGGAGATGGAGAGGCTTTCCAAGCCTGCTTGGCACGCACAGTGGAATCTAGCGCTCTACGACGATTCTAGTCTGATTGTTGTGCCAAAATCACACCTTAGAGCGAGAACCGATGTAGAGCGTGCCGCTGACCCACTCGAGAAGGAAATGCCTGGACAAATTGTTGTCAAACAACGCCCTGGGGATATTGTTTTCTACAATAATAACATACTGCATCGAGGTTCCTATAGCAGCAATACGGAAAGAATGACGCTTCATGGAAGTGTTGGTCATGTACAAGGTGGTAACCATAGAGCTAGAAATGTCCTACAACACGGAGTGAAGGAATGGATTGAGCAAATTGATCTTGATATCCTAAGTCCAGAAGAAAAGAAGAGAGCAGAAGGTATGCGAGCCAGACTGGTGAAGCTGGGTGAGCAGTCTAGGGATGTTGGATACTCTTTGCAAGGATAGCATATTAGAAACTAGGTAGCTAGTATAGCTCTATAATTCTATAATTGAAACGCTATCTCGCAATGGGTCACGAATCTATAAAGGGTGCAATATAGAGTATGACTCAACTACAAGGTTTCGGGTGCAGCTCGATAGGGCTACATTTAATGTAATCCTGAAACTTAATATCTAAATTTCTCTACCATCATGTATATTGTTACCTGCAGTTGGGCAGGACCTCTTCGAAGCTTTCTTGCGAAGCAGAGCAACCACAGGTCTGACAAAGTAGTCACCGATACCTCCCCTTATTCGTCTGTTTGTATAAATCGCATCACCTTCCATACGATCTGAGCAAGCTCACCCAATTCTCGTGCCGAGAGAACCAAGTTCTTCTCCGCCATCCCAGGCCTTGGCCTCCGCTCCAACAACTTCTCAAAAGAGAGAGTGATTGTGCCGTTAGCTACTGGTCGCTCGTCTACGAGGGAGATATTGACCCGCTGCACTTCTGTGACTGCAGGCTGCTGGTTGGCTCCCTGTCCCGGTCTGAGTTCCCAAATGCTAACACGCACCTCCGGCTGCCGCCGTCCAATCCTAATTGTAACAACTTGGGCCACGTGCGAC